AAAAAATCCTTAACAAATAACTTCTATTGGTCTTTAACCAAATTTGTATAAATGAAAAGTTACTGCCAGTTTTAGATAAACTGTATATAGATATAGACAGTGTGGACATGGGAATCATCATTCAATAGTGACTGTCAGTCACCATGCATTGTTGATTCTTATGTCCATGCTGCCTATATCTATAAATGCTCTCTCTTGTATTGAGCACTCTTCCCCTATATAAATATAACAAATTATATACAAAAGCTCTTTACATGTTTTAATAAATTAAAAGATTTAGCAAGAATTTTGAAAAGGATATTGAAAGGTAATTTTTTCTTTCTTTCTTTTTCTTTCTTTCTTTTTTTTTTTTTTTTTTTTTTTTTGTGATTCAGTTTTATTTTCCTTGATAAAAGTAAATAGACATCTATTTGCAATCAAGTTTTTTTTTATTCAGTAAGCATTGAAACAAACACTTCAGAAATATTATGTAAATCAGAATTTAACAAAAAATTGTTATTAGCTGATTTTATATCTCTTATCTTCTAGGCTATCCATTAGGATTTGTTAGATTTAAATCATTGATCTGCTCTATTGGCTGGTGCTTCAGAATATGCTGACTGCACCCCCCCCCAATGAGGCATCCTGGGTATGACAATAAACTACATCTGGCAGCAAGGCCTCTGATCAGGAGGTTTTGATGAGTGTGGGACCACCTCTTAATTGCTGGTGTTCTCAGGTCCACCCTGACCCTGGGTGGTAGCACCTGTTAGAGTTCCAGCTATGGACAAATAGTTAACCCCCAAACTTTGTGTCAAAACAGTATGAAAGTGGAAAAATAGGTTTTAATGCCAGCAATACATTTTTTTTTTTTTTTTTTTTTTTTTTTGGGAAAAAAAAATATTACCTGCAATAAATATAAAATGCCAAATACTTTAAATCACTTTAACCGTCAGCGGACAAATGAACTCTGCTCATTTTAAAACAATGCTACTTAATAAAATATTCATTTTCAAATCATTTTATAATATATAGGATTTGGCATTAAATACCCCAAAGGATTGATATGCCAGAAAACCCACCTATCTAACTAACATAAATCATTGATTTAAATTAAATTATTTTTTAAATCACTGATTTAAATCAATTTTACAAAAATCTTTATTTAAAGCAAAAGATTTAGAAATAAAACAATTTTTTGTTTTCATGTAATTTCATGAAGGAGGAAAAATGTTAATCATATTGAATCAAATATTTATTATTCAACTGAAGAATTTTTTATTTATTTATTTATTTTTTTTTTTTTTTACTATAAAATAAAATTTTAACCTTTTTAACAAATTTTAAAACTTAACATGAGCAGTGTTTGCATTCACAAATTTAAATAAAAAGGCTAGTTTTTCTGCTTTATCTCTACCAAGATGGTTTCTTAGTTTTGAATGCACCAGGACAAGAAAACTCATTCAATGTCAGTAGATGAGGCCACTGTTGATAAGAGTTACTTAACCGTAGAAAGCATGTCACTGCTTAACACACTTCAAATTTCAAAGTTAACAACACAGACAAGAATTAAAAAAAACCCAGATCTAAGTTTAAAAGAAACAACAGTGGCTGGTAGTATTGCTAACAAACTACTCATAAAAAAAAATTACCAGATTATTTATGTACAAATCAATCCTACATAGCTGATGATCATCATGTAATCTGTTATTTTAAAAGACCATAAGAATAAAATCACTGTATGACCTTATCTAAAAACAGTAATAAAAACAAGACTGTATGTAAGTTGAATGTCAATGCACTTAAAAAAAATGGTAAAAATTAAATATAGATTTTCATCAACTAAATTGGGGAAAAAAATTGTTAATTTGGCAACCTTAAATTATCTTACTATCTCTCTTAATCTCTCAAGTGATTTGTATTAGCTTTGCTCTTTCTTTTTGCTCTCTTTATATGCAAAAATGAAAAAAAAAAAAAAATAAAAAAAAAAAAAAGATCCAGAACCCTGCTGTCCAGCTAAGCTGCATTTGAAAATAATCTTTAAAAAATTTTTTGGTAGAATATTTTCAGGACATTATTTACATGCAGACCAGTGTTCTCTTCTTTATTATCACAATATTTTGGCTGTTGTGCCCTCTGAACTTCATCAAGCTCTTGTCAATTTGTCAATCCAGGTAACCTTCAGGGAATTTCAATGAGAAAGAAAAAAAATGACAGCAAGGCTTTAACATCAGTGGCATTTATCAGCAGGCAGGTTAGCTTTAAGACTCCAAGTTCTCCACTTAGGATTGTCCCATGGGACAATAGCCTAGTGGATTGGTTCATGAATTTAGTGACATAGTAATTGTGAGTTCATTCTGTAGGGGTGAGTAATACTAAATAAGAGCTAAATGATATAGGCCTAGACATGGACAGCAGAACAAGAACACTCTAAATAAATGGTTCAGTTCAAAATTCCCTGAAGATTACCTGAATTGATAATCACAATAGTCAAAATATTATGATAATAACAAAAACGAGGACAATAGTCCACATGTAAATAATTGTAATGACTTATCACAGAAATTCAGACAAAACATTCGGGACATTTTTCATTATCTTATGCTCTAAAATGATTCGGACATGTTCAACAGGATTTTCTCTGAATTTTTTTTTTTTTTTTTTTTTTTTACAATTTGCCATTCTTGACTCCTTTTTATTTTTTGGTATGGCATGAAATGTCATACTTGATGAAAAGCTTATGGTTTTTGTCTAAATAACAATCATGAAATATTGAGGACCCTGTTGTGTAGAATGGATATTTTTCTGAAAATGGTCATTTCCCAGATGTTGTGAATCACTCATGCTCTTAATTGGTATCAGACACCCAAACTGAAAATCTGCCACATTTGATACTGGGCTGTTCAACTAAAATTTTTGATTCATTCAATTTACTGTTTGAGAATTTACCAAATAAGAACTCATTTGACATACTGACAGTATGCCAACCCAGCTCACCATCTCATTTACTTACTGTTTTGTCTGTTGAATGCCACTCATTTGAAGTGGCTTTCTTCTGGCTGCTCTGCCATAATATACTGTGAGGTAGATTCTATATTCTTGGACCTTTTTAACAAATACTGTCCAGCAATGGGAATTATTTTTCCTTTTTCTATTTCATCTACAAATACACTTTTCTGATGGCCAATATCGACTTGAATAAGACTCACTATTTTCTTTGTTCCATTAATTGGGTTGTAGGATGATGAAAATGAACATTTTTGATTTGGGCTTCGTGTTTGCTTTTTAAATCTGACAATTTTTGTGTCTCATGGACATTGTGAAATGATTGTATGACTGTTTTTTTTTTTTTTTTTTTAATAATAAATTTAATATCTTTTTATTAAATGCCAAATTTAAGTAGAATAGTCTTTGTCTATATAATCTTTGGGCTTTTATACCCCCCCCCCCCACTTCACTGCCTTCTTTGGGCTCTCTACTGTTCCTCTCTGCTTCAAAGATAGCTCAATGGATTAAGACACTAACTACTCTCCAAGGGATATTCCTTGTTGGAAATCCCAAACCCATGTTTTTTTATCTTGATCCTGAAGAGATCTTCCACTGAAGAGTTGAAATGACAATCCCAAGCTAGGGTGATTTTGCACAATTAAAGTTTGTACTGGTTTCCTGAGTTGGTGTATGATAAAATCAAGCCTATTTTATAAAAGGCAGCAAATCTAACATTTATTCATCCTTTCTGTAAACTATGAATTTAAATATTTTCTTCTTGGTATTTGGTCCACTTGGTTAATGCAGTGGCTTCTAGGAAGTTTTATTGCTTGTCTAATGGAAGAAAGTGGTACAGATTTTGAGTCTTGTGTGCTGCCATCTGGTCACATGATTGGGGGGAAGCAACAATTATGTTTTTTTCTTGTCAATGAAATTTTATTTCTGAATTCAATTGCCAATGACTTTGTAACTCTGAATGGCTGCAATGTTTTTGTACTTTACTACCTTGACATGACAAGGTGATGGCTTAGCAAAATGAAATCCATAATGTAATTTTTTTACAGTATTTTCTTTGTCCACAATTCCCTTTGAAAAACATATGCTTTTCACACACTACCCCAGAGGTTAATTTAGGCATTTGAGAATTCTTTCTTGAAAATGTTTTACTGGAGAAAAGATTTTCTTAAAATCAACTTGATTTTAGGTGATTGATAATTTAAGAAAATAACCCTTTAGCAAGGTGATTTTTTTTCCTCTGGATTCACTCATCAAAGCACACACCTGTCATTGGTAGGTGCAGGGGTTTGTCAATTATTCTCTCTTATTGGATTTTTTTCAAGTTAAATTCAATCTCCTGAGAATTTCAAATTCAATTTATTTCACTCTTCTCGGTTCTAAACCAGACCATCAAGCCTGTCCAGGTATATGCTCGCTCCTTTACAAGTAGCAACACTACTTATCTACTGGAATTGACTCTCAAGAGGATGCTTCCCTGAGCACTACAATGTTAACTTTTTCAAGCCTAGGGTCAGCTGTTACCTACCCTCATATTCTGCACTCACTTTCACCACTTACATCCATACAACAATCTCATTTAGTAACCCTCTACCTTGAGTGACTGTTGGGCCTTGTATTAAGTGAACATTTAGTTAAAAATATCTCTCTCTCTCTCACTCACTCACTCACTCACTCACTCACTCTCACACACACACACACTATTGAAAAGGAATAATGTTTTATCTCTGTATTAAATATGGAGTAGGTGTAAATAAATTAGAGAATATTTGACTTTTTATTTTATAACTGAATCAATATATTAGTCAGATTGAAAGATAATTTGAAAATGTAACATACTTAATATCTACTTGTCTATGTTGCTTAAATTTCTCTTCATATTTTTCTTGTACTCCTCTTGATTTTTAAATGTCAACAATGAAGTCCTTATCTTTTTGTAGCATGAAATGAAACAATTTTTGTTGTACAACTTTTTTTTTTTTTTTTTTTTTTTATCACTTTCTTTTCATGATTTCTAGGTTCATCTTTATGGAGATGTGGACAACCTATTCAAGAAAAAAGAAAATGTAATTTACATTTCCAATCACCAAAGTACAGGTAAATTATTTCTTGGAATTTTAACATCAAACTTGCTTATATCTAACTAAGCTATGCTTATCGAGCTAACCTTTATTTGCTAACCTAAAGTGTTTGATCATATTAGGCGCATTTCATTTTAACTAACTTCTTTTAAAAAGAATACTCTTGATTATATTGTGAGATGTGTCATAACTGTGAATAGTTGTGAAAATAGATGCATTTTGTTTATGATTGAAATAAAAATTGAAGGTGGCTTGCATTTTCTGCAGTTAATTTCACTGGTTCATTTTCTTCACCGGAATTTGTGTCATCTAGTGAATTTGTTTTGTGTACCTGTGTGAAAATAACAGATTGGCTTTGTTGATCTGGATGAAATTTCGATCATACTGTTTTTTCAGTGCCAGACAATCTTGCTGAAAAAGTTGTAAATGTGCCAACAGAAGAAACTATGCTGTTGAAAAATTATCAACAATTAAATTTGAAATGTAAAAATTGTACAACAGCTGTGGAGCTGTTTCATCCCAATCACTCTCTTTCTACCCTTGGACACCGAGAGATGTTTATTTGTTAAGTAGTGCTGGTGGTACTAAAATCTGAACAGTAAATAACTTTGGATTTTCTCTAATGCATAATAGAGGGCAAGGGTAACTCTGGGTAACTCTCTCAAACTCTACTATTTCCTGCATATATGTTATCCATTTATATAGACTTCTGTCTGGGAATAGACCTGATTAATTAACTTCTCAAACAAGGAAACTCCTCCAAAATAATCCAGATTGCCATACTTGAAGTTCTTTCCAATTTTAGCCTGGATTTCTATGTTCCTAAAATTTACATTGAAATCAACATGAATATGCCTGATAGGTTGCTAAAACAAACAAACCCTGAAGTTACCAAAAATCCTGTGGGCTTTTGGCAGTCTCATTAGTCATGTTATGCTAACTTCCTTGGGGTTATGGAGTTCGGCTGAGGGTAGCGGTTGAATCTTACTAAATCTTTCCAAAGTCTTCCTTATGAGTATTTTACAGGTTTAACTTAAAATATTTAAACGAGATTTTTTTTCATCACAATCCAATTAACCACTCCCCTTTATTTTTCTCTTTCTAATATCTCTACTGCTTCACTCAGAATGATTATGATTCTCTCTATACCTCAAGTCTCTAAGTATTTTCCAAGCAAAAGTATGGCTCAACCAGGTCCACTGCCCTGTAGAGTGAGTGAGCCTGGTTAAATATAAAATAAATGTCAGAATAGTCCAACAAACAGAATTGACAAAGCAATAAGAAAAAGAAAAGAACAGTGAAAAAAAAAAAAAAAAAATTTAAAGCAAGCAAACAATATATGCAAGGCAAATTAACAGTAATAAGGCAAAAAGTTCACAAACTAAGAATTGGCATTGACACATAAAAGCAAGTTTAGACAAGCAAACACAGCATTCTGACTTCAAGACAAGACAGATCTGGACTGAGGTTATTTACCTTAGACTTCCCACAAGGCAGGATGTAGCACAAGTCCGTTTTTATGTGTGGCGATTTTGAGCCCATATGCATGGGCAAAAATTCCCTGTAGAGCCATAGTCAGGCTTGTCTACCTCCCCAGTCACGACTCTGCCTTTTGGCATAGCCTTGTCTGGGTTCTTCTCTGCCTTCAGGCAGAGAGTTCGACAAGTCAGCTGCAAACCACTTAATATAATTTTGACTTTTATTGGCTAGGAAGAAATCCCGACATGCATTTGTGTGCTTTTGCCTATAAATTGGGGAGGGAGGGGAAAGTGTTTTACAGTCCTTACTAGTCAAGGTTGGAACCAACCCAAAGGAAATGCGGGGTGGGGTGGGGGGTTTGAGAAACATTTCAACTACCCAGAAAATCTTTTTCATCAGTTCCAATAAATATTTTTTTTATTAATTTCAGTGTTTTTAGTTTGAAGATAAATGAGTTTAAAGCTTTACAATAAGCATTTGTTTGAAAGATTGACCAATTATACATTTCATGAAACAAATTTCTGTTTTGTACTCATTACTGTTCCTTGTTGACAAGTTAAAAATTCTATAATTTCATTTCCAAAATTGAATATATGTATGAAAAAAAGGTCTTCATATTATAGAGAAAGAAAAATTTGTTTTATTGATTTCCTCATTCTAAAATGAGTAAAGTCTCAGTTTCAGGTATGTACCTCCAATGGATACTTTTTTTATGGCAAGTTGAAGATGGCACAGTTTTGACCTTTTTTCCCTATTGACAAATTATGCTTCTGGTTGTTCTTCAGTTATACGCAACTAAAATTAGTTTCTTATTTAATAGCACACAAGACAGAAAACTGACAAACTTTGAATGATTTTAACTTCATTACTGATTGAACTATCAAGATAAATTTGGTATCACTTTTTTTTTTTTTTTTTTTTAAATGTTTTTGTCAAGATCTCTGTCCATATTAAAGGTTTTAGGTATATTGAAAATAAAAATTTTAGTTTGGAATACCAAATAATATGGTTGATTTCGATGCCTTTCTAGGTAGTGACCATCTCTTCTGGCCAAATGTGTTAGAAAAACATGGAATTGACAAGGTCAATTCTAATAGGCTTATGTCATTGTCTCTTTGCAGTGAGTTTGATCTCCTTGTGACAAATCTAATCTTTCTGCAGGTAATCACCTTAAAAACCACCTTGAGGCATCAGTTCATTACCATATGATTGTTTATAGAATTGTTTGTCATTGTAACACGCTGGAAGCTAACATAATCCATTCATTCATTCACAATTGTTCTCTTTCATGTCAACATGCATATGAAAAAAAGCCAGTCATAATAACCTCAGTAAACCTCTTTAGACAGTTAGTGAATTTAAAGGCAAGAAATCTTTTAACTCTATTCAAACCAGTTGTAATTTCAAACTTTCTTCTGTCAATATATCAGTCTGTAAAAGAGACATTGGAGTATAGTCTGTGTGTGTGTGTTTTTTTTTTTTTTTTTTTTAATAAAGCTTGGTTCAATTCCAGTAACGCTCAATAGTCTGACACAATATTTGCTTCTAAGAAGAGTTAATTTCAATTGTCCATAAAGAAAGCACATGTTTAACCTGGGGAGATGAGATAGAACTGTGTTGGAAAATGAAGGTAAGAGGCTGACGACTGTGATTTCAATTCCTTTTATTAGAACTTGAAGATTGTTTTGGGACCATTTTCCAACTGACCATCTCCAATATATTCCTCAGACTGAACACTTCTGACATAAATGTCAACATCATATGTTGGGCAGAACACATTTTTAATGTTTTGAACAGGGAATCAATCATAACCAACAAAGCAATCAATAATCTTTCTTTGCAACCTGTTGCTGTAACCTTTTCAACAGATGCTACCACCTCTGTGATTGTTGAAAGCAATGAAACTGCTATCAAATAGCAAAGCACCTGATACTGATGGCGTTCAAGATTAAATCTATAAATGTGGACACAATCACCTTGTCAGTAAGATTTTCAAATTTTTAAATCAATTTTACAAAAACATGGTCTGTTTCATAAGAGTTCAAGGGCATTTCCATTGTCCACCTTTACAAAGAAAAGGGGAATAGATGCGAATGTGGCATTCACACAGGAAGTGTTTTCTGTTCAGTTTGTGGCAAGATTCTTGCTTGTATGGTTCTCAACTGGCTTGATATTTTTCTTTCAAAATCAACTTTGAGATGCCATATGAATTTCAACCTGGGAGAGGTACAGTTAAGATCTTCAGCCTAAAGCAATTGCAAGAAAAATCTAGCCATTACAACAAAGTGCTTTACTTGATATTTGTAGACCATATGAAGGCATTTGATATAGTGTTGAAGGGATAGTCTCTGGAAGGTCCTGAAAAGGTTCACAGTGCATGTTAGCTTTTCATTGGGGATGAAATAAAAGCCTTCATAAAATCTGGAAACAAACACTTTATCAAACTCTTGTCATTTTTGAAAAGAGAATACATGATATATACTGTCAAAGATTTGCTAAAAAAAAAAAGGAGTATACGTGATGAATAAATGCACCCAAATCAGTAAAAACTAAGTTTTATCATGAAAACCTTTGTTGTTATTAGGAGGAATAACCAAAGGATTGTTTGATTATTAAATTAAATTTTTTTTCTTGTATCAGGTGACCATAAATTAGTATGAAAAATTTTAGTATCTTGTGATGAAAAACACATTGATGTGTAAATTCTTACAAAAAAAAAACAAAACAAAAAAATAAATTGTTGGATTTTAATAAAACTTCCAGGACTTCTTTACAAATTATTTTAGAAATGTTTCTGTCCCTTTTTTTTTATTTTTATTTATTTATTTTTTTTTTAATTATATAATTTTCTTCAATTCATTTTGTGTGTGTGTGTGTATAATGGATTAAGTCTGACAATTATTTAATATATTTTCTGTTTATTTTCATAGATGCAATGTAAGTAAATGCTCTGTTTTTAATTAAAAGTATTAATTACATTTACCAGCCTGAATGTTCAAAGAACACATATTTTCTACAAGATTTCTCAAACATTCAGGCTGGTAAATTTAATTAGTATTGTTGAATTAAATACAGAGCATTTACTTAGATTGTATGTATAAAAAAAAAATAATAATCCATAATATAAGGGAGTTATCCCCCTTGATACATAGCATGTTTCCATAAATTCAAATTCAAAATAATTAAAAAAAAAAAAAAAAATTTTTCTGTCTTTCGAACTTAAGAATTTGACCAATATAAATTATAAATTAATTGATTCGAATATCATAGACAATAATAAAATGAACAAATCTTAACATACACTTAAATCAACACTTTTCGCTGGACAAGTGGGTCTAGGAAAGGAGTTGAAGAATTGAAATTAATGAGAATAAACCACACCCTTTCTCCTATGCATTTTAAAAGTTAGATTTGTCACAAAGACAGTTATGCCTGCACTGAGAAGTGAGCAGAGTTAGAATACCAAGGAGAAAGGGGCAGAATTTAGCCCTGCCTGTGCAGAGTAGCAGTGTGAAATTTGAAGTGAAGCAGGTTGGA